AAATAAGTAGCTTCTCATAGGAAACACTTATTTTGGCTATCCTGGCTATTGTAAGCCATAACAAAGATAAGTTATGTTATGATTTTAGAAACTGGACACTAGAGGGGACTAAAGATTCTAAGCAGAAGGGGAAAAAATACAAGTCTTTTCTTGATTTGGTTAATACTAGGACTTATAAAATGACACAAACATCAGAGCATTCCTTTACTAGTATTCCTTTACTAGTATGCTCTGAGGTTCCTGCTAGATGAGTCAGAAAGGTGGAAATCTGGCAAAAGAACTGAAGAAACAAGACCTTTTGAGAGTACAGTAGAATCTTTCAGAACCTGGAGAGAGCTCAGAGAAGAGTCAATCTGATTTGGCAAGTGCTGAGTTTCAAGGTCAAACTATGCACTAGGGTTGAGTGAAGCTTTGAGTTAAGGGTTCCATTAGAAGGTGATTTGATCAAACTCAATCTTCAGATAAAATCAGCAAATCAATTTGATCAAGTCCCTGTGAACTTATCCAAGATTTAACAGACTACTTTTACTACTTTTGAACATATAAGGTGGTGCATGCATTCATGTGAACCAGCTGCAGTGATTTAACATGTCACGTGTGTATACCTTGCCTGTCCACTGCTTAATGAAATAAAAAACAGACTCCACCAAGATCTATTTGTTTACATTTCTGTAGCTTTTGGGACACTGTATGTCCCCTGCTTCCATCTAACAATGGCTTGGTTTCTCAGTTCCTCTTCAGTGCATAGAACAGATTGAAGGACGCAAGGGTGGTGGTGGTGAAATTGGCCTCCTGTTCTTGTTTAAATGAAAGGGCAATTAGAGTCCAAACTCATGCTACTCATCACTAATACAGAACAATCCAGTCTCAATCTTCTTTACTGACTTCTTTAATCAAAATTTGCAAAATATACCTTGGCTTTCACTACAGATGGAACTACAAGCTTAGAAGACACCAGGAGCATAATGGAAACATGAGGTAGTCTTACAATTATACCTGAAATAGTTACAAGGACATTGAGGCCTTCTAACACATCCATTTGTTGGAACCGTCTCCTATTGATCAGATTGTACACTTTTCCTTGTCCACTCCGATCCAACAGCATAAGCCCGTTCTCGGTTCCTACCAGTAAGTTTACACCTGCACAAGGGGAAGAAGGAGAGGTGATGAGACAGAAATTGGGGTCACTGTGCATCAAAAATGACAAAATAAGGGAATCAAACTACAGCTGCAACACTGTAGTTGACTATCCAATCAATTTATTTTTTGATAAGGATGAAAGTAATATTTAGGAAGCATTTTTATTGTTTTTAGAAAACACATGACCATATATTGAACAGTTCATTGTCCCATGAGTCAAAATGGGTGAGGAGTGCCTCTTCAAGACAGTCTTTGCAATCTGGATTTTTTATATGAACTGGTATTAAAAAATAGTACAATCAGAGTTATCTGTTTCCATATTAACTGGGGACATCTTATTCAACTTGAACTGAGGGCCTCACTGTTGGCCATGTACCTCATTTGCTTAGGGAGAGAATTGAGGAGACCTGTGGTCCTCCAACTCTCTTTGATTTCAGTTAACATGGCCTATGATCAAGAATGAAGGAAACAGTCATATAAGACTATCTGGAGGACAACAGATACATCTTCCCTGCCCCGACTTAGGAATCCTTTCTAAGGATGGATGGAAATGGATGGATGGATGGATTCATTCATTCTTTGTATGTGTGCCTTTAAACCCTGTGGTTTTCTTGACAGCATTTTCTGAAGTGGTTTACCACTGCCTTCTTGTTCCTATGGCTGAGAGAGAGTGACTGGGCCAAAGCCATCCAGTTCACTTTCATGCCTAAGGAAGGAGTAGAACTCATAGTCTCCTGGTTTCTAGTCCAGTGCCTTTAACCATCATAACAAACTTGTTCTCAAGATTCTTATTACTGGACTGTAATTGATAAACACTGTAATACTGTAGATATCTATATCAAGAGAAATAAAAAAATCTAATCCCTCCTCATAAATTGAACCTCATTGGGTGATCTTGGGATACTAATCTTCCTTATTTCATGATATGCATTGAAAGTAATATTGGGCTGGTTGATGAAAGAAACAGATATGGGTCTTCAGCTCCTAATTATCTCTCCTTAGTTAGATAATTAACTGAACCAACCAACCAAATAAATGTGTACAGACCTTGGCTATTCTTGGGTACAGAATTATTATTCATTTTTAATCAAGGATTTTTCTATGCTTGAAATCTAATACTTTCACCCTCTAGCTGCACTTCCAGAATGGACCTGAGCCTTACCTGAAAAACACACTAGAATTTGAGATCTAATGATGTTATGGAAGGAAGTAACTTTCATAAAAATCATGGAGGATTTATGGGAAGCAACAAGTTATGCAGTTGAAAAGGAAGCAAAATTATAAGCAAAAGGAGCCAAACAAAAGCATTGTCACATGAACTGTATGGTAGAAGTATATGAGTGTGTGTGTGTGTGTGTGTGTATGTGGGGGGGCATGTGTAGGATGGAGGTTCTTAAGTTCTAACATCTTCTGTTACATGCAAACTGTATCAGAAGAAAATGCAGACATATAGAGATCTTCCATTTGAGGAGAAGAGGGGCTGACTGGACTAGGTTACTGTAGCATGTGCATGTTTGTTACTCTAGATGGGGAACTTCAGTGACTGGGGGCCAGGCTAGCTTGAACAGCAGGCTAAGCAAGAAACTATGGTTTAGAAGCCACCTTCATTTAACCTGCTAACCAGAGACAACTCATCCACTAAGAATTCAGGGAGAGACTGTCTGAATTCCTCTTACATCTAACTGCATTTTCTCACACTGATTGTTCTTCTATTTCAAGCTGCCATCCTCTCTTCTTTCTATTATTTTCTTCTTAACCTGATGACTACTATTTCCACCTTACAATCTCTAGGGGGAGATATTTATAAAATCACTGTTGTATAAAGAGGCTAGAATTTTGAACAGACTGCTGTATTAAACTATATTCATCTTCTATTCAAAGCCAAGGAATTATAATTATTGCAGCTCTCGCCAATTTTAGGAAATTCTCTCTTAATATAAATTATATTAAATATATTGTCTGCAAGTATTCCAACTGCAATACCAGTAAAATCATAAAAACACTCTCAGATAGACAAATTATTTAGACTTGATGGACACAGATGGTCATGGTCTACTTAACATCTTGCATGTCCATTCCCAGAGCTGCAATAGAAATGCTGGGCTAAAATCTATTATCTTCTGAACGTAAGTATTTTTCCTCTTCCTCTCTTTTATCATGCAGATTTCATTTCTACTATTTACAAGGATAATGAAATACATACCCCATAAAGCAGCACACAGGATTTCCGAATTGAAGCGTTTCTTGTACTTTCGGATCTCTGGGGTATCACTATGAGGACGAATGTTGGTAGGGTTCACATTTACTACAGAAATTTTTCTTGCTTCATTAAGTTTGGCCTGTTCTTGCCTCAGCAGCTCACTGGTAAATAATGCTGAAAAGGGAAAACACACAGTAGCAGCTTTGTCAAATATATAACAGAGATTTCATCAGATTTTAATTGTATGATTCTGTAAAGGTAATGTCTAGGATCCCCAACATAGCATCCAATATAGTACCTGGACATCTCGTTGCCCTGACCATCTACATTTTAATAAATTCTCTTTAATTAAAAAAAATTGAAACCTGGTGTGCTACAAACCAAAGATCCAGCCCTAACCCAAATGTGCCCCCATAAGTTTTCTTGAACATTAAGAATACGGGGCAGATGCAGTTCAATCCTTTGTTTTAACATTGGCCCACATGAAATAGATGAAAGGCAAAGGGCATCTCGTTATGTTCACTAAGGCAGCAGTTTTGTGAAGTTTTATGACTTTCTTTCCCTCCCTCCCTCCCTCCCTCCCTGACAATTTATATGATGCTTCAATCACAAAGTAACTCTAGGCAGCTTACCTGCTGTACGG